ATGGCCAACCGTGGTTCGAGTCCTGGACCTGGGGGCTTGCTTTCTTGCTTTTCCTTTCTTTCTCTCTGTCTCTCTTTGGTCAAAATAAAAAATAAATAACAGTAACTAATAAAATTAAATAAATAAATCTTTTTAAATTTAAATGTATTAGAGAGGTTTTTTTTTTCCTTTAGGGCATATGTGCTCACTAGAGAGACAGATAGAAAGCAAGAAATCACCCCTTGGGGGCTGGTCATGCTGCAATCCCTTCCCCATTCTCCTCTCAGGATTTTGGGCATGCATGCGCACATGCCCAGCATGAGTTTCAAGAGCTGGGTCCAGAACTTAAACCTCAGTCGCCATATGGGAGCCCAGCAATACAACCATTATGCCATCTGCTGGTCCCAAATAATTTTAGAAAAAAAAAAGTTTCTTCATGGTGCTGGCAGGTGGCATTTGGGGCCCTGGACACTCCCACATGGCTGATCAGAGTTCGAGTCCAGAATCTGGTGGCTTGCTTTCTCATTTCCTCTCTCTGTCACTCTAACCCTCTGTCTCTCTCTGGTCAAATTAAAAAAAAAAAAGAATGAATAAATAAAAAATAAAATAAATAATTAAAAATAATAATAACAAATAAAATAAAGTAAATAAATCTTTTTTTAAAAAACCTTAAAAATGAAGTTTACTCATTTCTTTTATAAGAGAGACAGAGACAGAGAAAGACAAGCACCCTCAGCCAGGTCTCATGCCACGGTCCACTTCAGCCTTCCCAGCCAGCTAGGATCACAGGCGGCCATGTGCAGGTCGGGGGAATGGAACCCACAACCTTCCATATGGATCCAGCATTACTTGAGCAGCATGTTGCCACTGCACCCTCAAACTGCCCTCTTACAACCTCTCAACACGTCCAGTACCTCAGTCCTGCCTCTGGTCCCACTCCAGACCTGCTCAAGACTTCCTTTTCTGGGGCTCGTCTCCAAGGTGACAGTCCTCAAGCCACTATCCAGCCATGACACTAAAGCCCCTGGATCAGAGATCCCCGTGTCTGCCTTGGTCCCGGCTCCCCTTGCCTCCCATCCACACCGGCTGCTGGGTTCCCGGCGTCAGGGTCTGCCTGTTCATTTGCTGGACCTCTTCAGAACCCCCCTGGCCACCGCCCTAGACCAGCTGTCCCCATGCTCCAGTCGGACCTCCAGCCCAGGCACTGCAGCGGCAGGAGAGCAGGCCGGTGTGATCATAAACCCTCCCGGCCCTGCTTTTGCAAGGCCAGTCTTTTGGGGTCATAACCCTGGGCCCCAGCCCAGGCCTTGGAAGGACCTGCCCTTCCTCCTGGCCACATGGCCTTGGCTTCCTCAGGTCCAGTCCCACTCGCCCTGTTCTAGACAGCACCACAGAAACTGGTCAGGCTCCAGGGGACTGTCTTGGCACTTCCGGAGCCTGGTTTCCAGCCCACATACCCCAACCTAGGCCTGGGTCTCTGGGCCGGGTTCTACCCACATCCCCGGGTCCCAGCCCACCATTCAGGGCCCCCACTCCAAGCAGGACACTGTCCCGGGCCCCACCCCCAGCTCCCCGCCCACTACAGCCAGGCCTCGCCCCTGCCACACCCCGCCCTTGCCACCCAGCGCGCGGACCCCTCGCACCTCCAGAAGAGATGTGGCTCCAGGGGGTGGCCGGGTACATGAAGGCCGCGTTCTGGATCTGGTCGTTGATGTCCTCGTCCTCGTTGAAGGGGAACGTGCCGCTGAGGCTGACGTACATGATCACGCCCACCGACCACATGTCCAGGGAGCGGTTGTAGCCCTGGTTGAGCAGCACCTCGGGCGCCAGGTAGGCCGGCGTGCCCACCACCGAGCGGCGGAAGGACTTCTCGCCGATGATGCGCGCGAAGCCGAAGTCACACAGCTTCACCTGCCGGGGTGCGGGGAGGGTCGGAGGGGTGACGAGGCTGCGCCTCCCACGCCCCCTCCCCACGCAGCCGTATTCCAGGGAATGTCAAATGCTGGCTGGAGTCCAGACCCCTCGGCTCACTGAGGGACCCTGGGCAAGGGGTCTCTCTGTGCTGTGTCCTCATTTGTACCTGGGGCAGAAACCTAACAGCCAGCTCAAAGTGCTCTCATGGGGGCCGGCAGGTGGCGAGATGGTTAAGGTGCTGGACACTCCCCAATGGCTGACCACTGTTCAAGTCCCGTACCTGGTGGCTTATTTTCTCTCTTTGTCTCTATGTCTCTCTCTGGTCTAACTAAAATAAATGAATGAATAAATACATTTTTTTAAAAAGTGAGATGTTAAACCCCTCTAGGGGGGTTGGCCATGCCACAATCCCTTCTCTTCCATTCCGTCAGGATTTTGGGCATGCCTGCTCATGCAACCAGCATGAGCTTCAAGCCGAGTCCAGCACCACAACCACTACGCCACCTGCTGGCCCTAATAAATAATGCTTTAAAAAAGAAGAGGGGACTGTTATAAGGATTACTGAAGTCGGGACCAGCAGTTATCGCAATGGCTATGTCGCTGGACTCCCATGCAGTCGACTGCGCTTCAAGTCCCAGACCCGGCGGCTTAAACTCACGCCGGGCGCGTGTGCGTGCGTGCCCGCCCAAGATCCCGGGAGGAGAATGGAGGAGAAGGGATTGCGGTGTGGCCGTCCCTCCTGGGGGTGATTTCTCACTTTCTGTCTCTCTGTCTCTCTGTCTTTCTCTTTCTGGCAATGTACACGCCCTATAGCAAAAACCTCTCCAAAGAAAGAAAAATAATAATAATAAAAGAAGGATTACTGAGGTTCACCCGAAGCTCACAGGACAGTGCACGCATATAGTGAGTGCTCAATAACTACCACCTGCTGCCACACCATACTCACCTCGAGCAGGTCTCTCTCTCATTTAAACAATTACTTTATTTAACCTTATTGGTTTATTTATTTATTTTAATTTGACCAGAGAGGGACAGAGAGAGGGGGAACGTGAGAAAGCAAGCCGCCAGGTCTGGACCTCGAACCGTGGTCAGCCATGTGGGAGTCCAGTGCCTTAACCACCATGCCACCTGCCGGCCTTTGGGCAGGTCTCTTAACCCCCTCCTGCCTGTTTCCTCTTTGGCACCCTGGGGAGCCTAAAGTCCCTATGATGATGGGCCGGCAGGTGGCGTGGTGGTTAAGATATCAGACTCCCAGAGAGCAGATTCCAGTTTGAGCCCAGACTTGGAGGCTTGCATTCTTGCCCCCACCCCCATCCATCTCTGGTGAATACATAATAGTAAATTAAAATGTACAGTTCTTAAAAAAAAAAAAAAAAAAAATGCCCCGATCTTATTCGGAGGCTGTGTGGAGGGAGAGCGTAAAGGCACACAGTAGGTCAGGAGCGGTGCCTGCAGACTGGGCCTCCGGCATTTCTGGCAGCACCAGGCCGGGGATTAATGGCGGCGTTGTCTCGGGCCCTGGGGGGATTAAGTGGGATGGTGTACCGTGCTGGCCAGTGCGCTCCAGCTCCACACGCAGTGACGGTGTATGCTACCCGGGCCCTTCTTCCTTTTTCTTTTTTTTTTTTTTTTGCTATAGCGCGCATGAGCTCACCGGAGAGAGACAGAGAGGGGGAAAGAGAAATCATCCCCCCAAGGGGAGACGGCCACACTACAGTCTGTTCTCCTCCACTCTTCTCTTGGGATTCTGGGCACACAAGCACATGCACCCGGCGTGATGGTCAAGCCACCAGGTCCGGGGCTTGAACTGTGGTTAACCAAGTGGGAGTCCAGCACCTTAACCACGCCACCACCTGCCGGCCCACACCTCTGCGATATTTTAAGGGCAGCCGTCCATGGCTATGGACAGGTGTTGGTGTCAACGAGACCAGGCTGCAAGGTCTTGCGTGCCGCCTGCCGGCCTGCACCTCTGTTACCCTCTCTGTTCACGTACTGACCCGTCCCTGCCAACGCCCTTCTCTGGCTCACTCCTTACCGCAGGCAGGATCGGGCCCCGTCCCTGAAGCCAAAGCTTCTGTCACCTTCAAACTGGCCACACTTCAGCGTGTCTCAGTGCGCCCTCTTTGAAGGTCCTTTTACTTTTCTTTTATTTCTTTATTTTTTTGGGGGGGAGAGATTTTTGCAATAGGGCACGTGTGCTTGCCAGAAAGAGAGAGAGACAGAAAGCGAGAAATCACCCCCCAGGGGGGATGGCCATGCTGCAATCCCTTCTCCTCCAGTCTCCTCCCAGGCATGCACGCACATGTTCCCGGAGTGAGTTTAAGCCATCGGGTCCGGGACTTGAACCGCAGTTGGCTACGTGGGAGTTTGGCCCTTAAATATGCCATGTGCCGGCCCCAGTTTTAGGAGATTTTCACAATTCCAGAAAGAAACTCCATTCCCCTTAGCCATCATCCTGACCCCACCTTCCTGCCCACACCGCGGTGTCCTTTCCATCTCTGTGGTCTGTCTCATCTCATGTAAACGGAGCCCTGCACGAACACAGTGGCCAACTGTGGTTCTAATCCCGGGCCTGGTGGCTTGCTTTCTCTCTCTCTCTCTCTCTCTTTGTCCCTCTCTGGTCAAATTGAAAGAAAGAAAGAAAGAGAGAGAGAGAGGGAGGGAAGGAGAGAGGGAAGAAGGAAGTCCTTTAAAAAAAGTTGCAAAACTGACCGGTGGGATTCACAACTCTGCAAACATACCAAAGGGCATCGCCTTATACCGTTACATGGATGTGAATTACAGCGCAATAAACATGTTCTAGAAAAGAAAGAGGGGCCAGCAGATGCCGTAGTGGCTATGTCACTGGACTCCCACTTGGCCGTCTGCAGTTTCAGTCCGGAACCCAGGACTCACGCCAGGCATGTGTACGTGCCCAAGATCCTAGGAGGAGAATGGAGGGAAGGGACTGTGATGTGGCTACCCACCCTGAAGGTGGTTTCTCACTTTCCCGTCTCTGTCTCTGTCTCTTTCCAGTGAGCACACACACACTAAAGCAAAAACTTCTAAAAAAAATAAAGAAAACTGGGGTCAGCAGGTGGCGTGGTGGTGGTAAGGATGCTGGACTCCCACATAGTTGACTGTGGTTTGAGTCCCGGGCCTGGAGGCCTGCTTTCTCACTTTCTCTCTCCCTGGTGAGCACATATGCCTTAGAGCAAATTTAAAATAATGAAAATAGGTACCAGTGGGTGATGGGGTGGCTAAGGTGCAGGGTACCCCCACACGGCCGACCACAGGTTGGGGATGATGGCTAAGGGTATGGAGTTCAAGTCCTGGACCTGATGGCTTATTTCTCACTTTCCCTCGCTCGTCAAATGAAAATAAATGAATAAATAAAATAAAATAATTCCTTAAAAGTAATACTGAAAATAAATAAAATTATATACAATTTTTAAACATAATTATTTTATTTAACTTCACTTATTTATTTTAATTTGACCAGAGAGGGACAGAGTGAGAGCGAGAGAGAGAGAAAAAGTAAGAGAGCGCAAGCTGCCAGGTCCGGGACTGGAACCACAGTCAGTCATGTGGGAGTCCAGTGCCCTTAACCACCACGCCACCTGCCGGACCCTAAGTCTTTTTTTTTGTTTTGAGAGAGGTTTTTGCTACAGGGTGTGTGCACTCACCAGAGAGACAGAAATAGACAGAAAGTGAGAAATCACCCCCCGGGGGGAATGACCATGCTGCAGTCCCTTCTCCTCCAATTTCCTCAGGACTTTAGGCATGCACAGCACCCAGTGTGAGTTTTAAGTCACCAGGTCCTGGACTCAAACAGTGGTAGACTACATGTGAGTCCAGCGATGTAACCATTCCACCACCTGCTGGTCCCAATAAACAATTCTTAAAAAAAAAAAACAAAAAAAACGGGGCCAGCAGGTGCGTGGTGGTGAAGGCAGCCGGACTCTCACATGGCTGAGCACGGTTTTGAGCCCCAGACCTGGCAACTTCCTTCCTCACTTTCCTTCTCTCTCTCTGTCTCTCTCTGGTCAACTTCAAAAACATAAAGAATAAAATAATGACAATGAATAAAATGAAATAAAAAATAATTCTTTAAAACAAGAAAATCAATAGGAAAATCCCAGAACAGTTTCCCCCCACAGGACCTTTGCACAGGCTCCAGGCTCCTCCCAGAACACTCGTGCTCCTGAAAAACTAACTTCTTGTTTTCCCGCTGAGAGGGTCTCTGAGGCTCCAGTTCAGCTGCATACCCCCCGTTATGCAGCCTCACAGAACCTTACAGAACTCATCACAGCCTGGCAGAAGCGGGGACCCCCACAGCCACATTTCCCAAGATCCCCACGGACGCCTCAAACCACAGGTGCCCTGAAGCTATGCAGGCCCTGCTTTTGCTTTTCCTCTCTGACAGTGTAGACGCGACCTACCCTGAGATCGGCGCCACCCCCCCACCGGCGTGGCCGGACGTCCCAGCCAGGGGCACGGCTGACCTGAGGAAACGGGTCTGCGGACGCCAGCAGTACGTTTTCCGGTTTCAAGTCACAGTGGACGATGTTCTTGAAGTGAAGGTGTCTCAGAGCTACCAGGATCTGGGGGAGGGGACGGAGCCAGTCAGGGAAGCGGAAAGGTGCCCAACACAGGTCCTGCCTCGGCAGCCGCGCGCCGAACTCCACCCACAAGCTTCTTGGTACCTCTCAGGACGCCCCCTGGGGCACCCGAGAATCTCAGGATCCCAGAACCGTTTACACCCGAGAAGTGTAAGGTCCCAGCCCTCTGGCCTGCTGCTTAGAGTTATTAACAGAGGAAGGACTTTCAAGGTTATATCGTATGATTCAATATTATTTTAATTTTGTCAGAGGGGCCTGCAGGTGGCGGGTGAGTAGGGAGCCAGACTCCCACATGGCTGACTGTGGTTTGAGTCCCAGACCTGACAGCTTGCTTTCTCACTTTCCTTTTCTTTCTCTCTATCTCTGGTGAGTGCACATGCCCTGTAGCAATAATAATAATAATAATACAACTAGTAATAATAAAAGTAAATAACTAAAAATAAAACTTTGTCAGAGGTTGTGTATGCAGAGAGGGAGAAAGCATGGTCTCTCTGCAATCCCTTCTCTGCTTCCCCATCCTGTCAGAATTTGGGGCACATGTGCACACACGCCTGGCATGTTTCTTCAAACTTCCAGGGCCAGGATTTGATCTGTGCAGTTGGCCATAGGGGGGGTCCAGCTCCTTAAACTACTAGGCCACAAGACAGAGCATGTGTGCTCACCAGAGAGACAGAGACAGCAAGGAGGCGGGGAGAAAGGACCCCCAGTGTGGGTGATCACACTGCAGTCCCTTCTCCTCCAGCGTCCCATCATTTTGGGATCTGGGGCACACATGCACATGTGCCCAGCATATTTCTCCAGCTGCCAGCACTGGACTCAGACTGTGGCTGTCAATCACTAAGCTCGTGATATATATATATTTTTTAAGAATTATTGGGACCAGCAGTTAGCGTAATGGCTATGTCGCTGGACTCCCATGTAGTTGACCGCAATTCAAGTCCCGGACCTGGTGGCTTAAACTCACGCCGGGCGCGTGTGCGTGCGTGCCCAAGATCCCGAGAGGAGAACGGAGGAGAAGGGATTGCGGTGTGGCCATCCCCTCTGGGGGGGTGATTTCTTGCTTTCTGTCTCTTTGTCTTTCTCTGTCTCTCTGGCAAGTGCATGTGCCCTATAGCAAAAACCTCTCCAAAAAAATAATTATTTTATTTAACATTATTTATTTATTTATTTAAATTTGGCCAGAGAGGGACAGAGTGAGCGAGAGAAAGGGAGGGAAAGTGAGAAAGCAAGCCACCAGGTTGGACTTGAACTGCAGTCAGCCATGTCGGAGTCCAGCGCCATTAACCACCACGCCACCTGCCAGCCCCTGGCTCATGATGTGAGATATATGTATATACACTCCAGTTTTATGTAATTCTCTTGCTTTTTTTGAGAGATTTTTGCTATAGGGTGCATGTGCTTGCCAGACACAGTAACAGAGACAGAAAGCGAGAAATCACCCCCGGGAGGACGGCCACACTGTAATCCCTTTTCCATTCTTTTGGGATTTTGGGCACATATGTGTTTGTGTCCAGTGTGAGTTTCAAGCTGCCAGGTTCAGGACTTGAACCTCAGTTGGCCCCGATACAACTTTTTTTAATGTTTTTGTTTTAAAGAATTCTTTTAGGGACCAGCGGTTGGGAGCACTGGATACTGCTAACAGTAAAACTATGGCAAATGAAGTCACAAACAAATAATGGAATAAAAAAAATAAATTGAACAACATAAAGTGACAAGGATCTAATGTCCCTCATAAATAAAGAGCTTTTACAATTCAATAAGAAAAAGAGATAATAATCCAACTGAGAAATGGGCGGGCCAGTCAAGTTAAGGAGGCTGGATCTCACGTGGTGGACTGCTTGGTTTGAGAAACTAGCCGGGTACCTCTGCGTGCGTGCCCATCCCAAAAGGATAAAATGGAAGAGAAGGGATTGCTGCATGACCACTCTCCATGGGGTGGGGGCTGCCTTCTCACTTCCCCCCATCCGCCCTGCCCGTGGGGAGGACTGCTGTTTAGGGCAAGGGCTACCTTGGTGACTACCAGGTCCCCAACACTGTCCTACATGGCACCTGGCCCAGAGCAGGGGCTCAGGGAGTTGTTGTTAAACATTTTAATAAATGAATGAATGAAAGAGAAAGAGAAAGAGAGGAAAAGAAAGAGAAAGCGGAAAGGCTGTTTCTTCTTTTCTAGTCAGGCCCAGGGATCCTGACTCATCATTTACTCTTTTTTATTTTTGAGAGGTTTTTGTTATAGGGTGCAGTGCACTCGCCAGGCAGAGAGACAGAGAGACAGAAAGCGAGAAATCACCCCCCAGGGGGGATGGCCATGGTGCAATCCCTTCTCTTCCATTCTCTCGGGATCTTGGGCACGCATGCACACGCGCCCGGCGTGAGTTTAAGCTACCGGGTCTGGGACTTAAACTGCAGTCGACTACATGGGAGTCCAGCAACATAGCCATTATGCCAACTGCTAGTCCCAATTTACTCCCTTTTCTATATTAATAATACTAATTATGAGGACCAGCAGGTGCTGTGGTAGCCAAGGCACTGGACACTCCTATATGACTGACCACGGTTCAAGTCCTGGACCTAGTGACTTGTTTTCTCACTTTCTCTCTCCCTGTGTCTCTTCTGGGTCACATTTAAATAAATGAATGAATAAATAAAATTAAATAACTAATTCTAAAAATCAATACTAATTGCTATTATTAAAACTACGATTCTGTTGTTTTTCTAGTTATTCTATTTTTCTATTATTACTTATTATCTCTTTTATTATTACTCTGTCATTATTTCAAAATTATTACTGTTACCTTTATTTTTTCAATTATTGTTATTGCTGTTCTGTGGTGGGGATTTAATGGAATTAAATCTAGGGTTATGGTGGTATAAGACGTTTTGAAGTTTGCATAGCTTTTTCCTAATGCACATTTTCTGTGAACTTCTCAAAGACTCTTCATGTCATGTTTTCATTTCTTTCTTTCTCTCTCTCTTTTTTTTTTTTTTGGCTACATTGTACATGCTCTCACCAGAGACAGAGAGAGAGAGACCGAGGGAAAGTGAGAAATCACCCCTCACAGAGGATGGCCTCGCTGCAATCCTGTCTCCTCCACTCTCCTGTCAGGATGATTCTCAAGCCGCCAGGCCCAGGACTCAAACCTCAAAGTTGGCCGTGTAGGATCCGGCGCCTTAACCTCCATACCACCTGCTGGCCCCCATGACGCTTTCTGCGGACTGCTACAGTGAGTCCCACCCAGTGTCTGCCGGCCTTCCAGGCAGCAGGCCTCTCCTGGGGTCCTGGTGGGCGGGGCGGGCGCACCTGGGTGATGAGGAACTTGGTGAGGCGCTCGGGCAGCCGGCCCTTCTCGCTGGACAGGATCATCTCTAGCATGTCCCCGTGCAGCTTCTCCATCACCACGAACACCTTCTCGGGCGTCTCGAACATGCACTCCAGGTTCACAATCCCAGGGTGCCGCAGGCTCTGGGGTGGGGAGAGCGGTCAGGGCCCAGGTGCCTGGGAACTCAGAGCCCAGAGGGCCAGCTCTGAGAGCAGGTGACAGCAGACCAGGAGAAGGCTGTCCTTGGGGGCAGCTCCTTCCATGGCATATCACTGTGAGACAGGCCAAGGATGACCTCAACCCAGCCCGTCTGCCAAAGGTCCAGAAGGACATTTTCTGTAAGTGATCTTTAATTTTTTTGTTCTATTGCCTTATGTCTTCTATCAGTGAGAGAGAGAGAGACAGCCTTCCCCTCAGGCCCTGACACTGAGATCCACTCCCAGCCTCAGCTAGCCCGGATCACGGGCATGAGTGTGCCTGGCACACACAGGGAGGTCTTGGGATTTGAACCTGAACATTCCCACGTGGGCCTGCTTCACAGAGCACTGGGTGTCTTCACAGCACCACAGTCTGAGCCCAGAAGGATCTTTGTATCATGAAACTGGGGGGCGGGAGGGAGGGGCAGCTTTGAGAAACAGGAAGGGGCCCTGTGTCTGTAGATCTTCTTTTTCAAGTATATTTCATTTCACTCAGAGGGGAGAGAGAGGGGGGGTACCCCTGACAGGGTCTCACCACGCCGTGGTCCTCCCCTCAACCTTCCAGCCAGCCAGGGTCACGGGCATGCATGGGTTTGCCTGGCGTGTTCGAGCTGATCTGGGATTGGAGCCGGGGCCTCCCATATGGCTGCAGCATCGCCCCACTCGCTGCACCACCAAGGCCGGGCCATCGTAGCTTTCAAACCCGTCCTCTCCTCTCTTCCTCCGGGCCCATCCCGGCCTAATGCCATCCCCCCGCACAGATGCCCCCCCAAATTTCCCGTGGGCTCCGCGCCAGTCGTACCTTTCCCATTCACACACCAGATGGCAGTCGGGGGGCTCTTTCCAACGCACACGCCTGGCCCTGTCTCTCCCTTGCTCAAAATCCTTCTATGGCTCCCCTCTCCTCTTGGCTCCCCCTCTCACCTCCTCCTTCCTAGAGGAACTGCATCTTCCCATTCACCTCCAGGCCTTTGCCCAGGTTGTCCCTTTCTCTGCCCTCTTCCAGGAAACCTTCCCAGACCACCCCCAGCGTGGGTCAGGTCCCCCTAATGGAGGAAGCAGAGAGAAGGCCCTTCCTGGGTGAGGGTGCGCTGGGCCCAGGCCCGGTGGTCACCTGCAGAATGGCCACCTCGTTCCGGAGCTGGCTCTCCTGCTTGGTGGGGAAGCGCAGTTTGTCGATGACCTTCACGGCCACGTCCCGGCCTGTCTTCCGGTGCTTTCCTGCGCAGGGGTAGGACAGGAGGGGGGTGAGGCAGCAAGACTTCCCGGTCCTGGCAGGAGGGGACCCAGCCCCGTGGCACCCCTCGCAATGTGGAAACAGCGAGAGCTGGGCAAAGTAGAGGGCCACTGGGTGGCTCTGAGGGGCCCAGGAGTGAGGCTGGGAAGGTAAGGACAGAGCTCCCGGGAGGGAGACTAGATTCCTAAACCAGAATCCAGGATCTAACTTTGTGCCCAATCGCAGCGCAAACTGCGTTCTCCCTGAGCAACCAGAATCTACTACGTCCCGTGGTCAGGGCGGAGCCTGCCCTCCCTAGCGATGGGACTCTGGGACGCAGCTCTGTGGCTCACCAGAGCAGGGATTCTTCCTACGGAGAGCAGGAGGAAAGGCTTTGCTTTTTATTTTTGCAAAGACAAAAAGGGTCTGAGACCACCAGCCAGCAGGAGCTAGCTTTCCAATCAGAACAGGAGTGAGCATGTGGCCAGTCAGAAAGGCGGTCTGAGGGACCAGCAGATGGCAGTTATGTTGCTGCACTTCCACGTGGATGACCACAGTTCGAGTCCCGGGTCGTGTGTGGGTGTGTGCCCAATCCCCCCTGGGGGTGATTTTTCACTTTCTGTCTCTCTGTCTCTCTGGCAAGCACATGCGCCCCATAGCAAATCCCTCTTTAAAGAAGAAGGGCGGCTTGGAGCCACAAAGGCGGCACCAGCCCCCGAGGTACGGTTATCTGCGAAGTGTCCTCACCTCCATAGACCACTCCAAACTGCCCTGAGCCCAGCACCTCATCCGGGAAGATCTGGTAGACAGTGGCGATGTCCTGCAGGGCCAAGATGGGGAGGGTGAGGGGTGCAAATGGAGACTGGGTAGGGGGGCATCAGGAGACAGCAGAGCTGGGGAGGCTGTGCGAGGGGGGGCATCGGGTGTGGGCAGGAGTCTCACCACGTTCTCCTGGATCTGACTGTTGGACACGGAGATGCTCAGAGATGCCTGTCCTGGGGGAGATGGGAGAGATGGAGATGAGGAGACCCCGGGCTCCAGATGATCATCACCTGCACCCTCAGAGGCAGCCTCTGGAGCCAGAAGACCCAGGTTCGAATCTGGGTGACAGTGTATACCTTCAAGCTAGCGACTAGTCCCCTAAGAACCTCCGTGTCTGCATCTAAAGAGCAGGACGGCCAGAGCATCGCCCTCACAGCCACCGGGAGGGCCAGCGAGACACGTGGAGGCTCAGGGGGTGATTCTCGAAGGACTGCCAGCGTGTCACCCCTGGTGTCAGCGCCAAGCCAGGCAGAAGGAAATAGAGGCTTGGAGGCAGTGTCCAAACCGACTCCAGGGCCGGCCCTGCAAACCCAGAGCGACACTCCCGGAGTCCTGCTCCTTCTGCCGCTGGAGTGCCTCCCCCTTCCTCCACTTCCCCACAGCTGAGCTGCAATCACCCGGCATGCTCGCTCCCCACGCCTCAGGGTTCTCGCTCCCGGCCTCTTCACTGGTCTCCCTGCCCCAATCCTGCCCCTCCTGTCACCCTCCATTGGAAGCCAGAGGGAGAAACGACCCTGTCATGTCCCCGTTCACATGCCCAGTGCCCTTGGGAGAAAGCCCAAGGCCTGAGTAGCCTAAAAGTCTTGGCCGAGCCCCTTGTCCACCTGAGCTCCACTGCTGTGAGTGACGGTGGCCCCAACACAGACCTCCTGGCCCTGGACCTGTGCATGCGCTGGCCCCTCTACCAGATGTGCTGACTGCTCGCCTGCAGTCTCAGCTCAGATGCCACTCCTGGGCCACGCCACACTAGCGCCTCCTGAGCTGGTCCTACTGACCCAGACATGTCCACTACTCTAGGACACGCTCCAAGCCACCCTCGCTGTCTGTACCAGAGGGTGGTCAGTATCCGTCCCCAGCACTGGACTCTGAGCTCCAGGGGGCGGGAGTCAGACCTCTCTGATCCCGCCTGGCTTCAGCCTGAAGTAATATCCCATGGGCCTTCCCCATCTCTCACACGCCTCGGCTTGCAGGACTCAGTTCAGATGCCACTTCTTCCAGGGAGCCTTCCAGGAAACCCAGATTGGGTCAGGTGGTCCCTCTGGGCTCCTTCTGCTCCCTGGCTTCCTAGCCCAGTTCTACCTACTCTGGTTGTCCCTGTCTGAGGTTGGGTATTTGACTCTCCTGGACTATGAGCCCTGGGAGGCAGGGCTGTCATGGTCACCGCTCTGTCCCCTGCACAAGCTGGACACAGAGGCACTCTGTAAATGCAGGAAGAGTCACCACCATTTGGGACAAGGCTCAGAGGTGGGAAGTGACATGCCCAAGGCCACCTGTCAGGTCAGGGGCTCCATATGATTGGAACCCGGGCCTGCTGAGTCCAGATCCACTCTCCACCTGCCTACCTTCCCCCTGGCTGTTCCTCCCACCAGGACCCTCCCGCAGCCCATCCAGACTCATCATCCTCTTGAGAGGAGAATGGGGAGGGGGCTTACTGTGGGGTGCATGGCCTGGAGCGCTGGGCGCGTCCTGCAGGATGACCGGCATCAGGGCCTGGCGGATGGCTGTCTCCCAGCCCCGGGCGGCCTCGGCCTGCCCATTCAGCCCGCCCAGGGCCCCGCCAGGCGTCTCGCCCACGAAGTAGGTGGCATTGGCAGTGACGATCTCGAAGCAGTGCGGGTTGGTGCCTGGGGGCACGAGGCTGAAGTTCTGGGCGGGCTCCACAGCAAGGATTTCCGACAGCGGGATCTCCTGGTGGGACAGAGAACCGGCACGGTGAGGACCCCGGGCTGAGCGGGCTTCCCACCTACGGCCAGGGCACACGGGGGCCAGCCTGTAGTCAGGGAAGACCTCCTGGCAGAAGTGATGTTGAAGCAGACATTAGTAAGGAAGAGAAGCCAGCTGGCAAGGAGCAGAGGGACAGCGTGTGCAAAGGCCCTGGGGAAGGGCATGCTGTGCTCAAACGACAGGCCATGTCCCATCACTTGGGATGGTGCCTGGGACACAGCAGCCACTTGACAGATGTCTGATAAATAAATAAAGGGAATGAGGCCACACGGGGCTTCGTGGGCCGCAGGAAGGGCCCGGGCTTTGTCTGAAGGGTCTGAGCAGGGGTGAGGAGTCCTCTGGGTGCACAGGGCGGGTGGAACGGGAGGAGGTAGAGCGAGAGACCAGGAAGGGGGTTGTAGGACCCAGTGGTGGGTGGGCACAGGATACAGGGTGAGAGGTGAGGTCCTGGGTTTGCACCTGGGGCCCTCCCTGAGCACCCTGGGCGAGTGTGTGTGCTGTGATCAGGCTGGCTCGAGACCCAGCCGGGGCAGCCTGACTGTCTGTCTGTCTCTGTCATACATTTTTTTTTTTTGAGAGGTTTTTGCTATAGAGCACGTGCACTTGCCAGCCAGACAGAAAGTGAGAAATCACTCCCCAGGGGGGATGGTCACGCCGCAATCCCTTCTCCTCCATTCTCCTCTCGGGATCTTGGGCACGCACACACACATGCCCGGCGTGAGTTTTAAGCCACCGGGTCCGGGACGCGAACCACAGTCGACTACGTGGGAGTCCAGCGACATAGCCATTACGCTAACTGCTGGTCCCCTGCCATACATTTTTTATCATGTAAGAAATTAGTAAAATAAAATATGCTTTTTTTATTAAAACTTTTTTTTTCTTATTGGGGCCAGCAAGTGCCATGGTGGTTAAAGGACTCTAGTCCCACATGGCCAACTGTGGTTCAAGGCTGAGGCCTGGCAACTTGCTTTCTCACTCTCACTCTTACTCTCCTTCCATCTCTCTGTCTCTCTCTGGTCAAACTGAAGAATAATAACAATAAATAAGATAAAAGAAATAATTCTTTGAAATAATTACTGGGACCAGCAGATGGCATAGCAGTTTCGTTGCTGGACCCCCACACTGCCAACAGCGGTTCAAGTCCTGGACACAGAGGCTTGAAACATACTGGGAGCGTGTACGTGTGTGCCCACAGTCTTGAGAGGAGAATGGAAGAAAAGGAACTGGCCATCCCCCTGAGGGGTGATTTCTCGCTTTCTGTCTCTGTCTCTCTAGCAAGCACATACACCCTACAGCAAAACAATCTCTCTTGGGACCAGCAGATGGCATAATGGTTGTATTGCTGGACTCTCATGTAGTTGACTGTGGTTCAAATTGGGACCTGGTGGCTTGAAACTCACACCAGGCACGTGTGCATGGATGCCCAAAATCCAGAGAGGAGAATGGAGAAGGGATTGCAGCATGGCCATCCCCACTGGGGGGAGATTTCTCGCTTTCTGTCTCTGTCTCTCTGGTGAGCACATGCACCCTTCAGCAAAAACCTCTCTCTCTGGGCCAGCAAGTGGTGTGGTGGTTAAGGGTGCTGGACTCCCATATGGCTGACCACAGTTCGACTCCTGACCTAGTGTCTTGCTTTCTCACTTTCTCTCTCTCTCTCTTACTCTGTCCCTCTCTGGTCAAACTAAAAATAAATAAAGTTAAATAAAATAATTAAAAAAAACCCCTCTTTCTCTAAAAATATTACTTTTTAAAGAATTATTTTTAAACTTTATTTACTATTTAATTTTAATTTTATTTATTTTAATTTGACCAGAGAGTGATAGAGTGAGAACAAGAGCAAGAGAGAGAGAGAGAGAGGGAAAGCAAGAAAGCAAGCCACCAGGCCTGGGACTCGAACCTGGGTTGGTCATGTGGGAGTCCAGCGCCCTTAACCACCATGCCACCTGCTGCCCCCCCCAATTATTATTTTTTAATTTGACCAGAGAAATTGTATTTATTATTGTTCTTCTATTTGACCAGGGAGTGACACAGAGAGACAGAGAGAGAGCGAGAGAATGCAAGCTGCCAGGTCTGGGCCTTAAATCCTAGTTGGCCATGTGGGAGTCCAGCGCCTTGACCACCTTGCCACCTGCTGGCCCCAAAAGAAAATAAGCTTTAAAAAGAGGGAAAGAAAAGAGGAAAGGAAAGGAGGAAGGAAAGAAAAAAAGACCAACTTCGGCAGCCAGTAAAACCAAGCAAGAAGACGCGTGGGAGGGATGGCTTTTTGTTGTTGTAGTAATTTGCCAGAGGGCATGTGTGCTCATCGGAGAACCAGAGAAAGCAAGGAAGCACCCCCAGGGGGCACCATCATGCCACAATCCCCTCATGCCTGGCATGTTTTTTAAGCAGCTGGATCTAGGACTTGAACTGCGCAGCGGCCATGTGGGATCCCGCCGATTCGAACACCAGGCCACAGGCTGGCCCACTTTAAATGTTTTCTTTAGTCACGATAGACCATGCATGTGCACACATGTAGCAGAATCACGATGGGGCATGTATGTGCACACATGTAGTGGAGTCACGATAGAGCACATATGTGCACACATGTAGTAGAGTCACGGCAGAGCATGCATGTGCACACATGTAGCAGGTCACAACAGAGTGTGTATGTGCACACATGTAGTGGAGTCATGATAGAGCATGTACACGGACACATGCAGTGGAACCATGATGGAACATGTATGTGCACACATGTAGTGGAGTCACAACAGAACATATATGTGCGTAAATGTAGTGGAGTCCTGATAGAGCATGCATGTGCACACATGTAGTGGATTCATGATAAAGCATGTATGTGCACATATGTAGTGGAGTTGTGATAGAGCATGCATGTGCACACATGTAGTGGAGTCGTGATAGAGCATGTATGTGCACATGTGTAGTGGAGTTGTGATAGAGCATGTATGTGCACACATGTAGTGGAGTCATGATAGAGCATGTATGTATACACATGCAGTGGAATCACAATGGAACATGTACGTGCACACATGTAGTAGAGTCACAATAGAACATATATGTGCACACATGCAATGGAGTCATGATAGAGCACACATGCGCACACATGTAGTGGAGTTGTGATAGAGCATGCATGTGCACACATGTAGTGGGGTCACGATAGAGCATGCATGTGCACACCTATAGTGGGTCACAATAGAGCATGTATGTGCACACATGTAGTGGAGGCAGAGAGCACACTCTGCAGGGTCTGTTCAGGGAGCCGCCCCTTCCACACCTCCAGCCATCGGGGCTCAGGGACTTGTGAGTGTGCCCGGGGGGGATCCAGGCTGACCATCCAGGGATTCGAACTGTGCACCATGTGGGACCTAGCCTATCTGTGAGGGAATAATACTGCCGTGCCTGGAGGGAGAGAGAAGGACAGGAGGAACCAGTGTGGGAAGGCCCAAGGGAGGAGCTCCAGGGCAGGTAACAGCGAGCAGCTTTTTTTTTTTTCCTAGAATTTATTTTTATAAAAAATTATTTAATTTTATTTATTTATTGTTATCCTTCAGTTTGACCCGAGAGAGATATGGCTGGCCATGTGGGAGTCCAGCATCTCAACCATCACGCCATCTGCTGGCCCCTTTTTTACAGATTTTTTTCTACAGAACACGTGCGCTCTCCAGAGAGACAGAGACAGAAAGCGAGAAATCACCCCCCGGGGGACGGCCATGTTGCACTCCCCTCTCCTCCAGTCTCCTCTTGAGATTTTGGGCATGTGCACACTCAGCATGAGTTTCAAGGCACCAAGTCCGGGACTTGAACTACAGTTGGCCACATGGGAGTTTAGTGCCTTAACCACTGTCACCTGCTACCCACCCCTTTTAAAATTATTTATTTAGTTAGTTTTATTTGTTATTATTTGTAAATTTGACCAAAGAGAGAGAGAAAGGGAAAGTAAGAAATCAAGCTGCCGGGTCTGGGACTTGAATCGCGGTTGGCCGTACCCCAAGGAGCTTGGGTTTCACTCTAAGGATAATGGGAACCACTGGAGTTTTGTTTTATTTTTTTTTAAATTTACTATAGGGTATGTGTGCTTGCTGGAAAGCGACACAGAGGGAGAGAGGGGAAGTGAGGAATTACCATCCTGGGAGATGGCCACCCCACAATCCCTTCTCCCTTCCCCTTTTGGGATTTTGGGCACGCACACTTGCCCAGTGTATTTTTCGAGTCTCAGGGTCCGGGACTCAAATCACACTGTTGGCCATGTGGGATCCAGTTGGCTTAACCACCATGCCACCTGCTGGCCTTTTTATTTATTTTTTTAAAGCATTATTTTTAAAATTTAACTTTACTTTCATTTATTTAAATTTGACCAGAGAGGGGCAGAGTAAGAGAGGGAGGGGAAGTGAGAAAGTAAGCCTCCAGGACTGGGACTCAAACCATGGTCAGCCACGTGGGAATTCAGCGCCCGTAACCACCATGCCACCTGCCGGCCCATTGAGTGGTTTTAATAAAGACACCTCTGGTTGCTGTGTGGGGAAAAGGCCGTGGTGGCAAGGGGAGAAGCAAGGACCCAGTAAGGGCACTGCTGCCACCGTGCAGGAGGCGGGAACCAGGGAGGAGGTGACGAACACTAATTATAAAGTAAAACTGGCAACAGGCTAATTACTGGGCGGTTCCAGCCAGGCGTGAGCTATGTGCCTGCACTGCCTCTGAACTCTCGGGCCCTGAGGTGAGGACTATTAATTCCAGCATTTCATAGAGACACAAGGCACAGAGAGGCCAAGGGTTGACCCAGGGACACCCAGCTGGGAAGGGGTGGGGCCGAAGTCAAATGGGCAGCACTTGCCATGGGGTTGAAGCAGGAAGCGACGTGGCTGGAGTGCTGGGGCTAGGAGGTGGCGGGGGAAAGCATGTGGGCGCAGAGGGAAGCCTGGGGAGCCGGGGAGCCCACCTTGTAGTATCTGTTGGTCGTGTTGTTCTGGAACAGAGTGATGCACTTGCAGTCCAGACGCCAATAGTGCCGCTTCCTCTGGGGGAAGATGTTCGAGAAGGTGAGGCTGAGTGCCCAGCGGGCCTGTCCTGGCTGCTCCGGTGGCTCAGCTCAGTGCCCCTGGCGCCTGACTCACCTCACACCTCCTGGCACTTCAATCACTCACAGGCTGTGCTCTACCCCCAGCCAAGACCCTCCCCAATCAGCTTGCAGTCCAGACGCCAATAGTGCCGCTTCCTCTGGGGGAAGATGTTCGAGAAGGTGAGGCTGAGTGCCCAGCGGGCCTGTCCTGGCTGCTCCGGTGGCTCAGCTCAGTGCCCCTGGCGCCTGACTCACCTCACACCTCCTGGCACTTCAATCACTCACAGGCTGTGCTCTACCCCCAGCCAAGACCCTCCCCAATCAGCCAAACTCCTCCCCCTAACCCCAGCCAAGCCC